AATCGACGATCAAGAGGCTAGCTACGAAAATGCGTACAACAGGATGATTGCTAGACCAGAATAGATTTCGTACGAGGCACGTTTTGACTGAAGAAAAGCTGGATGGGATCGGCGCTCGTCCTTTCGTCAACCCGTCAAAGTGGGGCCCGCGATAAAACGAACACCCTGTATATCAACTGGAATCCGTCAGTAAGAGATTCGTAATTCATTTTCGGCTAACCGTAGTTGAAGAATGTTTGCAGAAGTATCGATGATAAGTGACCGTACATCAGGAAAAACGATATCTATCGTCCACATCGTCGATTGTATTAGGAGACATGTGTAGTATTTGAGAGGTTGTTTGTCCCTGGGAGCGAGGGCGGTGCCGGCATGGCCGGGAGCGAGGAAACGTGACGGGAAGTGTGCTGCGAGGACACAGTAGGGCAGCTCGGGTGAGGCGAGTATTGGGCGCACGTTGCTGGCTTTCTTCATCGGATGGGACTGTTCGTGCAGGAGCTCCGTTCAACGTTTCCCTCACTGTGATCAGGCTGGAGCCCCGTCCAATGTTTCCCTCACTGTGATCGGACTGGGATACTGGGATCTTTCTCCCCCTGCACGCTGCTGCCTCGCCCCTCCTTCGTCTGTATTTTATTTATTTTAAAAATATTTTTTGTATTTTATTGGCCTTGGTTGTGCTGGCCAGGTTTTTGCGGGATTGTGTTGGCCTTTCCCCCCCTTGAGTGGTCTTCTTATCATTCACGCAATGTTCCTTTGCAGAGCGGAATGCAAATGCAACTTTGAGAGATTGGGAGATTGTTATCGCTCTTTCTTACGAAGGGAATGAGAATGGATATTTATTTCCTAACCGGTGAGAACCGAAAGGGATGCGGGATAGACCAAAAGGTACACCTGCAATTTAGTGAACAGTGAAAAACTTCTCCCTAATTTTGAAAGATGTCGCTCCGACTTTAAACCCGTTATTATCCATTCACAGTGCGAGAGAAACTACAGTATTAACACATGTTTGGGAGTTGATATATGCTAATGATTCCACAGCTTCTTCATGTTCATGACTCGATCCGGCTGAAAATTGCGCCTGAGCGCGAAAATCGTCATTTGTGCCGAAAAGTCAATTTCCTCGATGAATTTTAGTCGCCGATTGTCCTTTTTGTGCCATCCAAATTACGAAATATGGGAAGACATACTGAAATTCCCTCATAAAGGGACGAGAATGTCCGCCCATGGAGAAAGCCTGCCGTGCATTATTCTCTGCGCTCTGAAAATTATTCCCGAACGCCGACATCCAAATTGGCGACGCTATGCCCCTTTCGCTGAGAGACGAAAGGGAAAATGCACCAAAAATAAATTAAAATCCTTATGACGTAGGTTTACAGAAGGTCTAAAGCTCATTGATATTGGAATACATCGTTGACAACGATGGGCTTATTGAACCTTTCTAAATGTAAGATTTCTGAAATGCCCAGGGAGTTCCTGTCATCTTGCCGGTCTTTATTATTGTGATGGTGATCCGACTGAAAAACTCGCCTCAGTGGCTTTTCTCATCGAATGTTGGTGAACATAAATTTCCAGTTCGAACTTTGTCGCCACTCTTAAGTTCACTGCATTCTGCAAACGAAATACGAGAATGAATACTAAAATGCAGCTACAGGATGCCGAAAATGATGATCCCTTAAGGAGAGTCGGTCGAACATCTCCTATCAATCAATCAATCACCCAGAATCAATATTCTATGATTCTATTCGTGGCTAACTTTAAATCGTTTCTTGTGTCCCTTTTTGCAAGGGTGGATAATACATCTAGAAATATTTCCCGACAATAATCTTTGCTAAGGAGACATTTCAAAGTAGGATTTTTCCTGTATTCAGCCATCAAACATCTGAGGGAAGTTTAAATTTTTTGTCTTTGTTTCGTTGGATCAAAACAAAAAATTAGGAAAATGGGACTGAAAAGAATGCCCTGATGGGTTTTAACGAAATTTATTTTTCTTTTGAAACATAGACTCAGAGAACTCCATGCCACCCAGTTTCAGCCTTATACGTTTCCCCTTTTTGCTGGCGGAAAAAAAGGTATTTGGAAAAGCGATCCACCCAAAAGCTGTGCTTCGAGGAAACGCACAAAAGAAGTTGCATTTTTCCTTAAATCGACATCACGTCCTTCTTGCGTGCGCCTGCTACATTTCTATTTCTGCCCGATTTCGTTGGACATGAAAAATTCTTTGAAAACGTTACATCCCCAAGAAATATGAACCCAAAAATATCTTGGAAATTTGACATTTGACATTGAGCGCAGTGCGTCAACGGTCACGTTCTTGGCAAGTTTCAGCTTTCCATTTGTCTCCGTTTGATTGAAGAAATGAGAATTATTGAAAATATATTCCCAGGAATGTGTGCCCCTATTGCATGTATCGCCAAAGTAGAACTTTTCCTGACCTCAGCATGTGAATAGCTACTTATGTCAGCTACTCACGATCGCCTACATGAAATTAAATTAGATTTTTTTCTTTTCTCAGCTATCCATCAGGTACTTTGCCAAGTTTAAAATTTCATCTCTCTGTTTTGCTTTATCAGAAAATTTTACAAAGTATGTTCCTTCAGCCCTCCGTTGCCCGGAGGGGATGCACCATAAAAGCTGAATACTCTCTCAGCTCAGTAATATCATGTCACTTCTTGCGTGCGCCTGCTACATTTCTATTTCTGCCCGACTGANTGGAAAGCTGGAACTTTGCTTGAATGTGACTACCAAGATAAGGAGTTAAAAAAAAAGTTAAATCTTGATACATCCCCAGGGGAAAATTTCTCGAGGGGCGATGTTTCAAAAGAAAGAAATTGTCATGGCGCATTGTACAGAAATGGGAAGGTGAAACTTGGCACACGTATAAGTGAGGTGATATTATTGAGTTGAGGGAGTATTCAGCTTTCATGGTGCATCCCCTCCGGGCATAGCTTTTGAGTGGGTCGGATTTTCCAAACATGATTTTTCACCAGGGAAAGGGAAAACGTATAATATTGAAACTTTGTGGGCATGTAGTTCACTGAGGTTTGATTTCTGTAAAAATGGTACTTTTCTGTTATAACACCCGAGGGCAGATATTTTCCAAATTTTCATAAATCTTCTGATCCAGCAAAACGGAGGGTGGGAGAAAGTTTAAACTTGGCAAAGAAGTACCTCATGAATAGCTGAGTAAAGAAACAATTCTACTTTTAATTATATATAGATGATCGTGAGCAGCTGACTGACAAGTAGCTATTCACATCTTGAGTTCAGGAAAAATTCCACTTTGGTGATGCACGCCATAGGGGCATACCTTTTCGGGGAACATATTTTCAAATACTTCTCTTTGCTTCAATCAAACGGAGACCCATGGAAAGCTGTAACATGGCAAGAACGTGACTGGCGAAGCACTCAGCTGAAATGTCAAATGTCACATATCCAAAATGTTTTTGGGGGCATATTTCTTGGGGACCTAAGGTTTTCAAAGAGTTTTTATTTGAATATGCTAGCGAATCGGTCAAAAATAGAAAAATAGCAGCTGGCGCACGCATAACGGACGTGATGTTGATTTCAGGAAAAATTCAACTTTTGCTGAGCGTCTCGCCAGAGCACAGCTTTTGGGTGGGCTGCTTTTCCAAATATTGTTTTTACCGCCAGCAAAAGGGGAAACGTATAAGGCTGAAACTGGATGGCATGGAGTACCCTGAGTCCATATTTCAGAATAAAAATAAATTTTCGTTAAAAAAAATCAGGATACTTTTTTTTTAAGTCCTATTTTCACGAATTATTTTTCGATCCAACGAAACAGAAACAGAAAATTTAAAATTCACTCAGAAGTACCTGTTTTATGGCCGAGTACGGGAAAAATCCTACTTTTGAAATATGCATCATGAGCGTAGATTATAGGTGGGAAGTATTGCAAAATGTATTCTCCACTCTTACAAAAAGGGACACATGAAAAGATTTTAAGTTAGGAACACTAGAAATAATTGAAGTAATGATTTTGATAAAAATGAAGACTTTCGTCCCCATATGTCACGTATTGCAATGGTACGTACTTTAAATAAGTGTTAGCCATTTCGCAAAGAATAAATGAATTAATCGCTATCCAAGGTAATGGAGAGTCGAAGGCTCGACCACAGCGAGTTTGTTGCAAGTATTATATATAGATGATCGTGAGTAGCTGACTGACTGACATAAGTAGCTATTCACATGGTGAGTTCAGGAAAAATTCCACTTTGGTGATACACGCCGTAGGGGCACATCTTTTCGGAGAACATATTTTCAAATAGTTCTATTTCCTTCAATCAAATGGAGACCCATGGAAAGCTGTAATATGCCAAGAACGTGACTGGTGAAGCACTCAGCTCAAATGTCAAATGTCAAATTTCCAAAATATGTATGGAGGGCATATTTCTTTGGGACGTAACTTTTCAAAGAATTTTTAATATCCTAGGGAATCGGGCAGAAATGGAAAAATAGCAGCTGGCGCACGCATAATGGACGTGATGTTGATTTAAGGAAAAAATCAACTTTTGCTGAGCGTCTCCCCAGAGCACAGTTTTTGGGTGGGTTGCTTTTCCAATTATATTTTTTACCGCCAGCAAAAAGGGGAAACGTATAAGGCTGAAATTGGAGTTCCCTGAGTCTATATTTTAGATTAAAAAAGAAATTGACACATGAAAAGATTTCAAGTGAGGCACACTAGAAATAATAGAGGTAATGATTTTGATAAAAATGAAGACTTTCGTCCCCATATGTCACGTATTCCAATAGTACGTACTATAAATACGTGTTTGCCATTTCGGAAAGAATAAATGAATTAATCATAATCCAAGGTAATGGAGCGCCGATGGCGCGACCACAGCGAGTTTGTTTGCACTTCGGGCAAGCAAACTCGCTAGTATAGTATATATTGATAGATGGAATGTGCATATGGAATCCTTTCTTTAGAGGAGTGGCTGCGTTTCTTCGTTAGGAGACAGACTCCAGTGAGAGCCACAGCGGGAATGAGAGCGACAGCAGCAACGGCAGTAGCAGCAGCAGTAGCAGCAGCAGTAGCAGCAGCAGCAACAGCAAAGACACCGGTGATAGGAGCAGAATACGCATGAGACCCCCGCAACGGCTTGAAAGTTCTTCCACATCGGAGGGTGCAAGTGATGAAGAGGTTGGCACAGACAATAGCGACGACACTGAAGATGGAAGCGACGATGACGACGACACCAGTGGTGACGATGACGAAGACACAAGCCACGACTCTGATGAAAATGAAGAAGACCGGAAAAGGAAAGAACAGAGGAAGAAACGATTGGAGGAGGAGAAGAAAAAGAAAGAAGAGGAACGAGAACAAATTAGAAAGAATCTCGAGGAAAGGGAAAAACAGCGTCAAGCTGAGATAGCAGAGCGGAAAAAGATGAAGGAAAGAGAAAAGAAGATACAAAAGATGATGGCAGATGATCTCATGAAGAATCTGGAAGCCTTCGAATGCCGCGTTTGTTTCGAGAATATCGCTGAGGGAGAGGGCGTGTGTCTCAAGAATTGCCGCCATTATGTTTGCAAGTGGGCTTGCTCACAAAGTTGCCCATTACCCGGTGTGTATTCTTGTTCTATTTTCGAGAGGTGTTGTTTCTCTTTCATTTTCAGGGGATGTTTACATGGGGCGATCATCCACAGTGATGTACCTGAGATTCAGTGCCCGGTTGGAGAGGATTCCGGACCATGTTCCTTAACTCTTCAAGAGAGGGAAATTAAGGCTGTAGTTAACCGACTTCTCAATATTGATCATTTCTGCTCACTGGCATGATATTAAATAAGTATGTTCTGGATGCAGCTACTTAGCAAAGAGGAATACGAGCGACGTCTGGAGCGTTCACTGCAGTACATTGAAGGGGCAGCAGGCAATACTTTCCATTGTTGCAAAGAAGACTGTCACGGTTGGTGCTTCTATGGGCCTGGCCTCAACCGATTCCCCTGCCCTTGCTGCAACTCTGTCAACTGCGTTAACTGCAGGGTAAGGCTGTACTACTTCCTAGCTTCATAAATATTTGATTTTACCTACATCCTACATCTAATGACGCGTCTTCCCTGGTGTAGGCAATTCACGATCCGATGAATTGCAAGGAATATCAAGCATATCTTGTCCGAGAGGCCGAGAAGAACGAGGAGCTCAAGCAAAGCTTGAATCAGTTGCAGGTGAGCTCATGAAACGAGTCGACAAAGTGACATCATTAAAAGGGATCCATGTGCAGAAGCTCGCACAGTTTCAAGACATTAACAGAAGGAAAGCTAGCCTGTTATCTTTTCGTCTGGGATTTACACTTGTCCAACTTGTACGGGTGCTCATTGTTGAAATTGATAAGGAACATATATCTAAATTATTTTATCTTACTCTGCTCATATTTATTCAGGGATAATTTTTTATCTGCAGTGGTATTCCCATGCATGATAGTATTGCATACCTTAGTTTTACAGAGTGGCATTGCAGTATTGGAACATTTCCCATTTCCTTCAACTTTCCCAATAAAGATGCACTACAATCCCCCCTTGCCGTCAATGTCTTACGTACTTCAGCATTCTCTACTTAAGACCATCAAGGAAGTCTGCATTTGTTGAATCATGGAAAGTATATGTTTCCATTGAACAGGAATTGCTGCAGAAAGGCGAAGCCATGAAGTGCTCAAATTGTGATGTAGTGATTATGAAGAATGGAGGTTGCGATGCGATGAGATGCAGGCAATGTAACACTGAGCTTTGCTGGGCGACAAGAGGACCCAGATGGGGACCAAAGGTGAGGAAATATGGTTAGCTGAATTAATGGGGCATTCTTGCCTGGAAGTCCTAAAGTGTAAGATCACAGAATATCCGTTAACTCAAACGGCACTCGCCTCGTGTAGCAAAAATCAATCTCCTTGTATTCCTCTCTGAGAGCATTGACAGGAACTAAATTAGTCATGTTTCTTCCTCTCACAACACAGAAGAGCTCCAGCAAATGTGAAGCTCTATCTCTCTGGGGTTGTGGAGAAAACTGAATGAGATGCGAATTTCATTTTTTTTCTCCCCTCTTGGGTGGCCTTTCCTGGGCTGTTTTCGGGGGAAAGTGACCAACCATAAGACATATATTTCCTTGTAGATCAAAGAGGTACATTAGGATTTCGATGCTCGCCAAACGATCATCGCCTCGATCAGGTCACCATAGGAGGAGGAGGATAAATGTGACTTTATTCCAACCAATGTATCATAAGGGGCAGCGGTAGCAGAAACACAGTCACAACGTGATGGGCAAGTCTCTGAGCCATTGCAAGGCTTCTGGGGAGGCTTGGTGGATCTCTGATAGTCCTCCTGGGAAGGCGAGGTCTGGGCACTCTTCTGCGATGTGTTTCATTGTCTGCACTTCGCCGCAGGTGCAGAGGGGGGATTCGGTGTATCCCCACTTGTGGAGGAGTCCCGCGCACCTTCCCTGTAGGGTCCTGAAGCGGTTGATGGAGACCCACTCCCTTCTGGGGAGGTCCATGCCTGGGGTTTCAGTGATGGGATCTTCAATTAGGTGTGAATTTGCTGGTGGCTTTGTGAGCCACTGCTGTTTCACTGTAGGGTCCTGAAGCGGTTGATGGAGACCCACTCCCTTCTGGGGAGGTCCATGCCTGGGGTTTCAGTGATGGGATCTTCAATTAGGTGTGAATTTGCTGGTGGCTTTGTGAGCCACTGCTGTTTCCAGGCGATAGCAGGATCGAAGTTGGATGACCGGATCAGGTTGCCCTCTTGCCAGAAGGGTTTCCTGGACTTGAGGCGAGCTCTTGGAGGGCGAGTGACGTCATTGTGTAAGGGTATCGATTGAAATAGCGTGGCTTTGCGATGTTCCCTGAAGGTTGCCTCTTTTCTCCTGATGTCTGGCGGAGAGATGTGCGAGAGGACCGGGAGCCATTCGACTGGGGTGGTTTTCAAAGTCCCTGTGATCATTCGCATAGTTGAGCGGAGTTGGGTGTCTACCGCCCGTGTGTGTATGCTGTGTTGCCAAACAGGGGCACAGTATTCGGCGGTTGAGTATACTAGTGCCAGGGACGAAATCCTAAGCGTTCGAGCATCTGAACCCCATGACGTGCCTGCCAATTTCTGAATGACTGAAGGGCTCTGCCTTTGGCAGAGCCCTTCAGTCGGTCTCGCTGCTATTTCCAGGAGTTTCCTCTATGTATCCTGGACGAACTCGCATTCGAAAATCTGATCCAGTAGATTTCTGTCCATGATTCCACTGTCTCTGGCCACTGATCGGAAGACGCATTTTCGATGTGAGGCATCACAGACTTCAGAATTTTCTTTTCTCGAAAAAAAACCACGACTCAAACGTTGAAATGAATACGAGAGAAAGAACGAGAGCGGTCCCCCCCCCCTCCTCGCCTTCTTCACGCTTGTCGGCACGATGAAGAAAAGAACGCGGTATGGAGGTCGAGAAGGACGACCTGCCATGTCCCTGGAATCTCCTCCCTCATGGTAACCACCATTCCGCATGAAAGTGCTCTCTCAAGGGAAGGACGCTGTCAATAATGAATAGGTAGCTTTGGTGGCGCCTATTACCTTTCTTCAACCCCTTCCCACCATAAAATTTAGCCTCCTCGTATTCCTCTCTGAGAGCATCAACAATAACGAAATTTGATATGCTTCTTTCTCTCTCAACACGGAATAGCTTCAACAAATTTGAAGCTCCATCTCCCCAGGGTTGTGGAGAACACTTTTTTATCTGGGAAGAAGCGTGGGAGCTGAAGAATAAAACTAGCCGGCACTGAAGGAAACTGCTTTAACGGGGAGTATGTCGTTGTTTCTCTTGATCATAATCATGGGGTGCAAATTTCTCATCTGCAAATTGTCAGACGTAAGGACGAGTCAGAGATCTACTCTGAGGATTCTGAATTGCGGGGGGAAAAAAACGGAAAGAATTGTCATTTCTTATGAGTGAATCAGGTCCTGCCGCCAGCGTCCAGGTGTTAGTGCAAAAATCAATTCCAGTTGCATTTGTAGAATCGCTTGTGTACCGAAATGGCTTGAGAGGAACGGTAAACATTTTCGGATGCTCAAAGGATCCATAGAGGTGTGTATAAAATAAACTTAATTGTTTCAGTTGCCGTTTCAGAGGCGTCGCAGCATTTCGAAGAGCGTTTTTATTGCCTCAACCGGTATCTTCCTTCGCTATCGAAATCGATCCAAGATTGCGGTGCTACTGGGGACATTGCAAGCGTAATTTCTACGTTGGCACGACATGGGTGCGCGACCTAGGATTTGCCTGAGCCAGAAGTCGGCAGAACGCGACCAGAACGTGAAAGCCAGGTCGGCTGCAATCGTGGGAGAATAATTATTCTTTTTCGACTTGATTTACGATGTTCGTAGCTCGAAGGAAGATATGGTTGATGTGGCTCGTAGAACTCCCAAAAACCATCTGTCGAGTCTCAAGGGAAATTCCCTCGTTCGAAAAACAGACATTACGTAATGCCTCCTGACGAACCGCGACACCTGGTCCCTTTCTCATCCGGGAAGACGCGGGGAATAAAAAAGGCGAAAAACGCGTTCCAGGTCCAGGTCCATTCCTTCCCTAATAATGGAAAAGCTCCACGCTCTCTCCCTCTTCTGCCTCCTGACCTCCTCGCTCCCCGGGACGTCGGGGCAGTTCCCCTGCCCCGATCCCGAGGACATTTCCCCCTGCACCTGCTCGTACGACGAGGGAAGGCTGGAGATCACGGCGGATTGCTCCGCGGCGACGCCGGGCGAAATCTTCTCCGCCTTCAACGACGCCACCTGGTTCTCAAAGCTCACGTGAGTCCGTTTTGCTTTTCCCATCTCGAATAAGGAATTTGTGATTAATTACACCCTCAAAACCTAATTTTTAAGGCTTCGTTATAGGATGCGTATTACTATAATTTCAGTAGGATGTCATGAGACCGTCTCCAGGAAATTATATGAACATTTTCTATATGAGAATCATTGTCTGGTCATGTTGTCCGAGAACTGTGCAAAATTTCCCCCGCCAATTTAGATGACAAAGGCAGCTTCCATGTCTTGATTATTTACCCATTTCCGATATAAATCCAGGCCGTCCCAAAGTCCTTTTACAGTGTTCATATTTTTCCTTGCGAATTCTGCAGTTACAAAGTGTGACAATCGAGGACCCTGGAAGGACACCCTGCAGACGAACAGAATCGCGAGATTTCGAAAATTGTGCAGAAGATGGACAAAATCAAGATTAAGACGATTTCATTTCTTCACAGAAAGCTGTAAAAAGAATGACACCAAGAACAAAAACCTTCTATCGGTTAGGATTGCATGCTAAATCAATAGGCGAATGATGGAGGATGGTCTCCGCGAGAGAGGTCTGGGTATACTTGATTCCGTTCACAATTTCATCGCTGCATACAAAATCAAAGTTTCAACCTCTTTAATTTCGTGCTGCCATGTTCTTTCATTCTTGCAGGAAACTGAACGTGTGGAGTAACGAGGCGGTGACGGTGCTCCAGAAAGGCATCTTCGGAGACATCTCCTTCCAGTACATGAACGTCTACGACGCCCCGAACCTGGTCGCCATCCGCCCGTCGGCCCTGCTTCCCTCGAGGGATCGGCTCGTGGATGCGTCGTTCGGGTTCGGCCGGCTCAGGGACTTCCCCTGGCACATCCTCCCTCAGATGGCCGCGCTCACGCGTCTCGACTTCAACGGGAACGCGCTGACGGCGCTGCCGGCGCTGCAGAGCGACACCCTACAGTACCTCATCCTCCGGGACAATCGCATCTCTTCTGTGGAAGGCGGCTGGTCCGTGCCCAACCTCAAACATCTGGACATGTGTGAGACCACACTTTCGGAATCCCTGTTTTTTTTTCGGTATATCCTTCCCGGCAAATTCGTAGAAATAACTTTCTGAACATACCTGGAAAAGGCAGGTTCACTTGGCTTAAACATGGAGTCATTCAAGGTTGGAAAGTAAGTGAAATAATTTATTTATTTTCAAAATGCAACTATGGAACATTCTCATGAGAAAATAAATATAACAAGGGCAGCGATTAAGTAAATAAAAAAGAAAGACAACGTCTCCCAATGCTAGACTTTCGGATGAACCTTTTCTATGTCCTTGCAGATGGGAATCCCGTGTCAAAGTTGCCCGCTGGGTTTCTCTCTGGCTTCGAGAAGTTGGTGATGTTCTACTGCTCAGACTGCAACCTCGGACCGACTCTTCATTCCGGGTCGCTAGAATTCAACAGTCAAGATTTGGATCTATTGCTCTTGGATGGAAACAACATCGTGACCGTGGAGGCCGGAGCCTTCTCAGGTAATTTCGAAGCCAAAACGGATCGGATTCGCTGAAAGTATGCGGTGATGAATCGAGACCGGGGGAAGCCAGAATTCGCATTGCAATTCGTGTTCAGCATCCTGCTTAAGTGAAAAAAAAGGGAAAAAAAAAATTAATTTACATAACGGGAGGAAATGGAATCCGCGACGCGAATGACGGTTGTGGCACTTGCGTGCTGTCAATTCGGACTACCGGCGGGGGATCGAACAAACATCCACGACAGTTCTTCCCTTTCTTCCCAACATTTACGAAGAATTTCGATTGGACTTGTCTGAAAATATTCCCCCCTCTTACAGTTCTTCCCAATTGCTATCGTCCGTTTCTCAAAGCTACACTTCCGTTTTCAAAAACAATTTAAACAAATCCCTGAACTACGCAATCTTTTCTCAAAACTTAACATCCGATTTCATTGCTAACGTACGAAAAGCGAAACCGAAAGTGCGATTTTCATATCTTCACGGACCTTTTTCGAAACTTCACGTACGGAAAAGTTTAATAAGGCCGATTCGGCGAGCGCCAAGGATGGATGCATGGCTGACGACTACGATCCATTGGCCTATACTCCAACAAGTCCCTTCCGACCGATCACAGAGATTTTCTCATCGTTTAGAGTTGTCAGAGCTGAATGCTTCGTCTTTGCTTTTATGAATGCTTTTATGAAGTTAATATTAAGATGATTGATAGTATGTAAATATTTTGATGAAGTTGATATTACGTTCATGGTTAGATCAAGTTAAGTAGCGGCGAGGAACCGGGCTAAAAATGACAAATAAAAATACCTCTCTCTCTCCCTCTCTCTGCCGTTCGTGACTAGGGTCATCGTTTTTCCTATTGCATGAATATTATATATTGTCCTCGTATTGACTACAAAGTTAGTCATTCAACGTCTCGGTTGGAACATGGATTCGGCTGGACTTCATAACTTCATTAGAGGTTTTTTCATCGCCAGGAGGATTTCGGGCTTAAACTCGGCGATGGCGTATTCTCTTGTGTCGATTTTGAATGGGAATCTTCGACCTTCAAATGTCCCCATAATGAAAACATTTGGCGTTTGGAAATCGGCTATGAAATGTAGTTTGGCATCCGCTTCACGTCGACTCGTGTCTGCTCCAGGTCTCACGGCGAACAGTCACATAATCCTGCTCGATAACCTGATCACCGAAGTGACGGAGGAGGTCTTCCGTCCGATGCTGGAGGTCTTCTCATCCGGGAACGGATACGTCTCGCTCGACAGTGAGTCCGGCGACCGATGGGGAATGGGACGGAGGCGATTTTCAATGGATGGTTTCTGATGCATCACCGGTTTATCCATTGAAATGCCTGTTTTTTGTTGCGATCAGTTCTGATCGGCGAGGCATTCGAGAATTAATTAGCAGAAGCAAGGACCAATGGAGATCACTTTGCTTGACCTTTATGTGTGGTACCATGAGGTCATCATTTTCCGCGTAAAATCATCAAATGTACTCAACCCACTTCGGGGCTGAACTAATATTGTAGATATATTTTTTAAATATTAAATCATGATAGACCTCGTTTCTTGAAAGCAAAGTATGTAAACGTTTTTGCTAAATTTGGTAGAATTAAATTGGAGAAAAGGGAAATATTTCCCCCCCTTAGTATTCATGAAATTCTACTATTCCTCTGTTGAAATGCAGGGAATCCCATCCGGTGCGACTGCAGCATGGCCTGGCTGATGCTCGAGGCAGACCTTCTTGAGCATACCTTTGGATCCTGCGAGAATGGTCTTTACTTTCACAATCTGGATCCGAATGTCTTTGAAACATTCTGCATCAAGATGAATCCTCCGATGGCAGGCGATTATTCCACCTGGATTTAACGCGTTCCGGTAGAAGGAAATGCAGTTGATCGCGAATAAAAGATTCGGTCCATCCCTTTCGTTCCGTTACCCGGATTTTGGCTTTTTTGGGGGCACTCATGTCAATCGTTTGTTAGCGGCCCCCCCCCCCTCCCCTACCGAAGCAAGAGTTTGGAAATGTTGAAGGAAGTTATATTCCATTATTACGAATACTTTACGGAATTCGCCAGAGAAGCAATGTAACGGGCACGGGGCGCAGTGGGTTGGATTTATGAAAATATCAAATATTAATTAAGTTAAAATAAAACCTTTACTTTAACGCGCCCCGATTCCATTACAATGAATTCCCTTCCAGGAAATCAGGTCCGTGCCAATTCAAATTCAAGCGGGAGTAACTAAGGCGTAACTCAAGAAAACAAAAAAAATGTATTTAAAAAAGAAAACTAATTTTAAAAAGGTCCAAAGAAATGTTAGCCAAACAACCGGTCCAACCCCTTTACAGTACTTTCAATGACAAAGGGCTGATCTTCACTTCCAGATAAAACCTTGCAAGTTCTGGGGAAAACTCGCGACCATCGAAGCGAAAAGATCTTCTAACTATAACGTTTTTCCTCTGTATGCTTTTTTTTTTTAGAGAGAAAGGCGGCCAGTTTCAAAACACCCACGATCTAAAAGGGCCCGAGTATCCCGGTCAAATCGGTACTAACTCGAGTTCTTCGAGTTCGAGCTTTTCAGTCACCTCGGAGTGAGGGATCGAGGGAGGGATCTTTAGCTGAAATCTTGCTGGATTGGAGGATAGGTTTTGGCGATTAGACTTGATTGGAAGGACTTTGATACCGATTCGCTTAATGATGTTATGGCTCCTTGTACAGTGTTTGGGTAGCACATTTGAAAAGGAAAGGTCCAGCATTTAAACTGTAAGGAGCCCTTCCACGGGTTGGTTGACCCCAAACACTGGGTTCACCTCCCTCCACGTGTTGATGGATATTTTAGTTCCCCTCCTTCAGCTTCATCCCCGCCTTGACTCTCTTGATACGCTGGACGTTGCGCGGTCATAGGCTTGCATACGTTACAGCAAAGCTTCACTCATCGCCCTGACATATCTTCTCGAAGAAATCAGTCAACATTTTCAGAAAATGTACATGGATTTCCGAATGGAACCTCCAGAAATCTTGGACTAGGATGAAACTCAAATAGAAATAATGTATTATTATTTACTATTCGCAGGAATGTGTTCATAGTGCTTATCGACTTCATTTCGGGCCACCCCGCTCATTATTAACGCCCGAGAATTTGCATGGCCATCACTGAGATTTTTGGAATTGTCATGGCATTCGCGTCTCAATTCCAAATGCCAATCAACTGACTGAGTTTTTTGAGTCACAGCCAGTTGTGCAACAGCCGAATCAGCTGAATGAATTCCTTTGACAGCAACACGTCTTTACACCCTTGCTCAATTTTATGCATGACATGTGTTTACTTTGTACTAGCGATGATGTCATTAACTTCGCAAGCAGGTGATGCATGGTACTAGGACGCGGGGATATCCAAAACCTGTTCATTAATCATGCTTATCAATGGATAAAGCTCACATCCGAACGAAAGCCTGGCAGATCGGACCAGGGACGTGTTCATTCCAACTGGAAATGCCAAGGAATCCAGCCAGCCGCGAGACGTGACTCCAGAACGCCCAAGTGCGAGAGGATTAGGGGATGATCTAGCAAAACCAATTCCGATTTTGAAAAACGGAATCCGATGAAACCCGTAATTGCTCTCTCCACGAATGAGGATACACCGATGATTTTATTCCAACAGGATGAATCAGCTGCAACCAAGCAGAACTGCATCAACACGAGACGATAATCGAGGGAGAATTAAAGACTTCTAGCAAAGTGAACGGCGCAAACTTTGATCAAAACTTTGAGAATAAAAATATACAGCGACGACAATAACTTCATGATAGAGGTTTAAAAAAAATAGGGTTGGCTTGGATCCAGATCATGATCACGTTATTCTTCGATGATGTCTGTTTCCTGCCTGTCGAGTGAAAATCGATTCAGGCGACCTTTCGTGGGTTTAGAAAGTCCCGGGAGTCCGTGAAATGATTCGTTGATCGTCTTTGCCGTGAACACCGAGTAGAGGTGTTTCGACAGCAGTACAAAGTTGAAATACCACATAAGACAAATTATGAGGATGAGCGAGGCTGTTGGAGAAGATGGAAAGCTGCGACGATGGCTTCACCCAGGTTCCCCGGCATCGCCTTGCATCCCCTTGGTTCCAGCCATACCTTGCATTCCTGAGGGTCCAGTCATGCCTGCAGAACCCTGGTCCCCAGTCATGCCTGGCGAGCCCTGGTCTCCAGTCGTGCCCTGCTTTCCCAGAAGTCCAGTAATGCCTTGCAATCCCTGTGATCCGGTAAAGCCTAACAATCCCTGATCTCCAGTCGTGCCCTGCTTTCCCTCAAGTCCAGCCATCCCCTCCGCGCCAATGATACCCAACATGCCTTCCAGTCCCGAGGGTCCAGTCATGCCTTGCAATCCCTGTTGTCCGGTCAAGCCTAACAATCCCTGGTCTCCAGTCGTGCCCTGCTTTCCCTCGAGTCCAGCCATCCCCTCCGCGCCAATGACACCCTCCATACCTTCCAGTCCCGAGGGTCCAGTCATGCCTTGCAATCCCTGTTGTCCGGTCAAGCCTAACAATCCCTGTTGTCCGGTCACGCCTAACAATCCCTGGTCTCCAGTCGTGCCCTGCTTTCCCTCAAGTCCAGCCATCCCCTCCGCGCCAATGACACCCTCCATGCCTTCCAGTCCCGAGGGTCCAGTCATGCCTTGCAATCCCTGTGGTCCGGTCGTGCCCTGCTGGCCCAGAAGTCCAGTAATGCCTTGCAATCCCTGTGGTCCGGTCACGCCTTGCAATCCCTGGTCTCCAACCATGCCTACCTCACCCATGGGTCCTGACATGCCCAGCACACCTCCAAGTCCTGTCGTTCCATCCGCTCTCTCGCCTGGAGAGGAAGAAAACCATGCAAGGGGAGAGGAGGCAAATATTGTACATTTTATAGAGGTAACACGGCAAAGCATTTTTACTACTATTTCTTAAGGAAACAATGAATCATTGCGGATGACTCACCGATTGGTCCACTCTCCCCCTTTTCACCCGTGCCTGGTTGTACAGGTATTGCCCCCTGGCGCTTTTGTCCAATGGTGCCTAGCGGAGTAATAGGCAATCATAATTTCTTGAAACCTTTTCCTCATAATAGAGGCAATTCCCAATCAATGAACACTCACTGGCGACGCAGGAGACTCCAGCGAGGTCAGTTTCGGAGAGGGTCCAGCTCACGCTTCCCCTGCAGAAGGAGGACCTCGCTCTCGCTCGTGTGTCCCGCCACACCATCCCAGGCGGGCACGAGTAGACCACCTCCGTGTTGAAGGGAAACGGGGATGTGTCGTTTCCTCCTGGGTACATCATAGTAACCGAGCCTCCAGAGTACAGCGGCGGAGCGGGACAGGCTGCCGAAGGTAAGTGCCATCAACATCCGCAATTTCACTGTAGTTCATTCTGTCGCTGCTAATCCAAATAGACCGAAGTATGAAAACTCCTATTCTTTCCTACAGTAAATTAGACTTCATGGATTCCAAACAAGTTTGCATTTGCAAAGCGTAATGTTCTCGACCTGTGGAGGGTGGCTTTTCCACAGTTGATAAAAATCAACGCCATCACTTTACTTATATTACGCCAGGATTGTTTTAGCTTTGCAGTTAAGAAATTTTTAATTTGAAATGGAAGAAGGAACTTTTTTAAGCCAGAGCAGATTTAATTTCTTTACTGTGGTGTTGTTTGAAAATGTTTCCTTCCTGATTTGAACTTTCAAATGATACACCATGTGTATGCAGGACAAGTAAATATGCTTATGTTGGCTTTTCTTTTTCCCCCCTAAATTTGTAAGTTACTAAGCATGGGATGACACGCTCCGAAAACCGTCATGAATAGAAAGGAATATGCCTTCCGCCGATGCAACGTTCTGAGTGGAAAAAAACTAAAGAAACGCGGTGCCACGTCTCTTTAGTGAGGCAACAATGACCAATTAGGGTGATAATGTCAAATCAAAACACCAGCAACAAAATGCCGACTCAATATTGTGCAAGTTACGTGTATATAGCGCCATTAGGGTCAGAAATATGTTGCTTAAGATAATTTTGGAAAATATTTTCAATGATGCGTTTTCGAACAAGAGAAATGTCTGATTGCTCACATCCCGGAGCGAATTCGATGCAGAGGTAAGCCGTCGGAACGTCGTCAGGCAAGATGCTTCCGCAGGGGTAGTCCACGAGGTGGTACACCCCTAAGACCATGTGGAGCGCCAGGCACTCTTCTGGAGCTGGCTGGGAGAAGGAGTCGGGTTGGGAGGGCAATGTCCAGGCGGTCGAGGGGATGTTGGCGATTGAGCTCCAGCCAGATACCAGGCTTGCCTGAGTCTGGGCCCTATAATCCCTGAAAACAGCCATGGGGTAAGAAAAAGGTTCAAAGAGCACAAAGGAGGTAAGCGAGATTCTACAGTATGTCGTTCCTAGGCCCACACGATCTTGGCTTACACATTTTCATGGATGTAGCACCTGTAGGTTGGTGCGCGTTACATTTACGTTTGCATCGGCTAGGAAGGCCTACGCTCAGGGAAGTATAGAAAGTCTTATATTCAGCCTTTGGGAAGTAAAGAAAATGAAATGACCGGGGACCGCTGGCCAGTCATGTCCTTCCATCCCATCGTGCCTCCGAAATCGCGATCCTCACGTCGCCACACATTGTCACCTTTCAATCACGTATTACATGTTCTGAAGGCGCCTCAAACAAAGGACTAGTCCGGGCCTCTTACAAACTTACTGCAACCCGAGACGATCTAACCCACTCTTCCTAATTCCCACTGCTCAAGCTGGCAAACCGGAATCGCACTAAACTGATTTCCGTCGTGGGCGTGAAACCAGTTTCGTCCTTCATCCGCCAATTCCCCCGAAAACACAATTGAAACGAGAAGAAACACACCCCAGTGGGGAATAAAACCCGCCGACAAGCACCAACCGCCCTCCTCCGGCAGCCGCTCCCCTCAGCCCGTTGTAATCCGTGAAGGTTCTGAAAGTGGCCAACCTTCCCCTGTACGGAGCATCGAAGCACGCCAGGGCTGCCTCCTCCACCGTGATCCCCCCGGGTCCGACGGGCTCCAGTCGGAAGAACCCTGCAAAGGTCAACGCAGATGCCGTTTCTTAGTAGAAAAAAAATATGCCACAGCCATCTGGTCTCCTTATGATATGCGATTGCGTGGATTTGTTTTCGCCCTGTTCACATGAATCAATCTCACCATTTCAGTAACTATTAATATCATCGACACTATAGGAGAGTTGTGAGACTGTTAGCATTCCCATTGCTGGAGAGCGCACCCATTCAGTGCACGTAGTAAAACATGTATTTCACTAAATCAAACGTGTTGGACAGGAACAGCCCTTCTGGCACTATGTAGAACACTGTCGACTGCTTTGCATCGCTTTGAGTTGCCTTAATTTCTACAAACATGGTAAAACTCGGGAGAAGGAATTTCCTTCCCATCGCCTTCCGTCAAGGGGCACTTTCAATATCCGTCGTCTGTGTGCCTGTACGTATCGAAACGCTGTATGTGATACTTTCTTTCACCTGCTGTCATGATGTCATGTGATTTTGCGCCTCGAATTGCCTCTCAGAACTTGACTTAGTTATATTTTCCATTTATGATGTCATGTTCTAGAGAAAAGGGTGAATTAGACTTAGTGGCGGATCCTGGGGGGCGAGGGGAGCGGGGGTTCATGGTCACTATGGCCAGGTTCCCATTCGATTTCTTCATTAAAAAAAAAGATAAATATTAATTTTATTTATTTATTTGTTTTTATAAAATTTTTTTTTTGGGGGGGGGCAGTGAAATTGATATCTAGGTTTTTCCTCCAGACGAAATGAGAAAAAAGCTATGGGACGGAAGGGGCGATAAATAGGAGACGGGGTGCTGGAAGTAGGGAACCCCCACCCACCCCCACCCCACCCCCACTCCACCCCCACCCCACCCCCACCATCCTATGAACACGTTTATATCTGCTACTGATTAGACCCCTTTGAAAAAATCCCTCTTCCCTCAACGTTTCTATCTCACAGCAATCTGGATTCTTACCGTCCCGTTCGAATCGACTCCATACATTTATATCTCGGTTTCAATGATAAATGAGAAAGGTCAACAACATCAGGATACTTATTTTCCCTCTTCAAGACCTAAATCAAACCTTTAAACCCAATTCCATTCGGACTCACCTTCGACGCCATCACGAGAGATCCAAAATAGGAGGATGAGGGATCCCAGAATTCTCCGAAAGGGGAGGAAATGCTGCAGGGTCGATCCCGCTGCCCTCCTTTTCATCTTGATTGCACTTGGTTTCCTTTCCCCTCCAGAGTGAGATAGGGAAGGGAACGAGGATCACGGTCGATCGTCGCCGCGAGGGGATCGGGACGATTGCTTTCTCGCTTCGTTCGGGCCAAGGTCGGGTTTTGGTCTTCTCTTTTCGTCCTCTCGTTGATGATTTTGCTTTTGCCTGGGGCAGAGCATTCTCGCGGTGTCAGTGTCCCTCGCATTGAAACCGGTTATGGCTCGTATCGAACGGTTTTTTTTATGTTATAACGGATTTGCACGGTTACTAAACGACCGATCTTTGGAGTCTGGCAGCGTTCTGGTGCACCTTAGTCGTTGCATGGGTTCATGGAGAGTTAAAGGGATACCTCTGGGTTCTCTTTCGTGAGAGACTCATAAGAAGTCGTTGCCTTGCTCAAAAAAAAGTATCCGTATCACACTATTGTTTCAGATTTCCCCCCCCCCCCCCCCCTTCGTTTTCGCCCTTCCATCTCCTTAGGTCTTAGCTCAATGTGACTCCCTTTTTCTCTAGCTATCCGCCCCATTCCTCCCCTGTTAAACAAATATATATAAATATGTTGGGTATTTTCCAAGGAATAGAGGTGTAATAAGGGGGAAGTGAGTGACTGATCTTGCTATGATTGCTCCCTAGTCTTAAATTATTTTGCACACAGGCATCTTGAAAATTTCCTTTTCTGCTAAAAAGGGATAATGTTTATTTTAAAAATGAAATTCTCTACAGCTCCTCGTTTGTACAGGAATATATGCCATTTATATTATTTTTAGTCATGATAATTGTTTGTTATTGTTTTAATATCTGTTTGGCCATTCCGGCTAGAAATTGTTTAAAAGGAAAGACACAAAAACACTCTGAAATTTTAAATACTCTGGAGTTTCGTTCTAATCAACATAGAATGCTGATATTACTGTCATTTTTGAAGGTCTCTCCACGCCCTATCAAGTGATATGTAACTCAAGGACATGTAATACATATAAAGGTCAAAGGTCAAAAGGTCTGACTTTTGAACTTTAATTAATGAAAAATGTCATTTTTATATCCTTCGAAAAATTACCATAACATTCGCGATTTTTCTGCATTATTGATCAAATTTAACGTTTGGGACTGCCATGGGATCAGGAGTTACAAAAAATAATATGGACACAAAATCCCGAGGGAATATGCTATACGTTTCTGGATAAGTCCAGTTTGAACCAAATTTAGTCAGGATAGAGTACTCTAAACTATCAGGATTATTCTAGAAAGTTCTTAACGTGTTGGATATTTCTAGAAGAAAATGGTGGAACGTTCTGGTGCGCAAATGGTTATGTAAAGCAAATGGGCAAAGAGCATAGGGAAAAACCTGAATCGATATCAGTTCTTGGATTCGACCAAGGCGAGACAATCACGTTCGAATTTCATCAAGCTACGACAGCGAAGTTCCGCGCGAAAATCTGAGCAGTTTGTGTCTCGCCCAATTCTTCAATTGCACATTTATTCCAGCATATTCAAAACGTTTTGAATATCATAAAAATCAACGAGGATTTTTTTTCCTAGACCTTGTTAGAGTATTCAAAACAGATTGAGAAGCAATTCCCTGCTGCTTGTCAAATTTTCTTCTGGGGAAAAAGTTTGCAGTCATCGGGGAAAATACTTCAAATTTCCACAATCACTGAATGGTGATTACAATCGAGGAAATCAAAACAAAAAATCAAAGCAAATGGCTGAGATTTAACTACTGGCTTTGTAACGACATGCAATTAAATGCTAATAGTCCAATTTAGCCGTTTTCACTCACATAGATATCTGATATATATTTCCTGTTCATAGCAAGATAAACACGTGGAATGCATGCCAAATGAAAGCTCCCTTCTAGGTCATTCTGACGGTGGGTGACTATTGATGGAACTTCAAAAATTCGAGTTTTGGGGGATTTTTTTTTAATTCATGACACTCTATTTCTATTTTCTCTTTATTTCATATTTCTCTTGCTATTATCGATGAAATTCATTTGGGAAAAATGGGATTGTCAACCGTTTCGGCACCCAATCATGGATCAGTCATAGTTGAAGAGACATTGCCATGTCTACGAATGAGTTCCTAGGGGGTGGGGTGGGGTGGGGGTGGGGTTTAAGGAGGGCGTAAATTGTGCCAAATCAACGGTGGAAGAGGGCCATAGATACCAATGAGGGATTATGAAAAGCTCCTTGTTCTTAAACTAAGAACTGAACATCTCCAGATATTCCTTCATTGGATGATTCCCAATCATGGCATTTATATAAATATGTAATATACATAAAATCATTTCGTTTGCTAGCTTACGCTGACAAGTTTTAAATGTCAAATATATCTACCCTAAATATAAACAATTGCGCTGAAGATGCCGAAGAAGAACTGGGTGTTGAATCTTCATGAGGTAAATGAACGAAACGAACGTCTAATCGAATTTCCACTTCACGAATGCCGGAATTTAACTTCAATTTCAAAGTCAAGAATATATTCGACACCGTTCCTAACATAATACGCAGTCACGAAATTCGCTTTCATCATCTGACAGTCAAGGCCGAATGCAAGAAACCAACAGTTCACCCGCAATACGAAGAATCGCCAGAGCTTCGTGAAAGGACTCGCGATTATCGGGAAGAGGAGGAAACGCTGCAGCGTCCATCCGCCACTCCATCCGCTTCATCTTGGCTACGTTTGACTCTTCTTTCATTCCAGATCGGGATGGGAAGTGAGGATCACCGATTGCTGCGGGGGATTTTTTTTTTTCTGCAGAAAGGAAGATTTGTCTGTGGCGACTGCAGAAGGTCCGGTTTTTTTAAATTCCTCTTTCCTGTTTAAACTCCGTAGATGAATTTTCATAAACTGTCCTTGGTGTCAGGGAATACGACTTAATTCAAAGGGTCCTTGGATTCCCTTTTATGGAAACTGGTTCTGGGAGTTCTCCCTTCTTTATGAATGTGATTATTCATATTTTTGAAGAAGTGTCGCGTGATTGATGACGACAAGCATTATCAGAGGCTACACAATATCAATATTTAAGAAAGGATAATTGAAACCTTGAATTTTTAACTGTTTATCTGCCTTCCAGCGCGCTATAAAAGATTATTGCAGGAATTTCGCCGAAGGACTCGGTCGACTTCATCGGTGGCAACAGGTCTTCATTTGACTGCTTTCCCGTAGAGGTTTGCTTCTTAATCGTAAAGGTTCTCGAAAAAAAATTTACTTCATGAAAAAACTGTCATCAGGTCTCTTTCATGTCGTAACAAAATGACGTTCTTCATGCGACCGAGGTTGGGGGAGGGTGGGGATGGAGGGAGGAATACACCAGGGATGATGTCGATCAATAGCGATATATGATGAAAAATTTTAAGAAAAAAAAATGCCTGCATTTAGTAAAATGCATCCACATCCAGGAAAATGTCGACTCGTCTCACCTCGAATTCTTCTTCCTTAGCCTAACGCGCGAGACCTGCAATGGCCAATTAGGGGTGAATGAAAGGCGCTTAAAGGTGGATCATTCCACCTCAAGTGAGGTGATGACCTGAGCTCGACCGACTCAGAATTTAATCATTTTTTCAACTTTAACTTTTCAATGGAAAATTGTATCCAGCTGATACTTGACAGAGAGGTTCATGAGTGTAAGTAGTTTTTTTTCACTTCCGGAAGATGGCGCTTTATATCGATAGAGGGCGCTGTTGATGATCTTTTTCTTTCCTAGACTTGGTTAACAATAAGCTATAGCCCTTTTTAAATTTCCTTCACAGGGTCATTCCAAGCCATACCCTAACTTCTTTTTCCATAAGCTTCAGTCTACCATGCATTTCGGTCGCGAGGCTCGTCGAACTAATTGATTGCTGACAGTGGCACTAACGGATGGACTTAGGCCGGAATTGCCTCAAAGGCATTGGGCCATAACTATTTACATCAGATTGCACCTAGCGGCAGAAACAATTCAGGATTGAATTTGTGAGTCAGACTTGTGGCCTCAATCCCCTGAAGACGCAGGTTGCCTGACAAATTTCTAGGAGAATTTTCCATCGCTGCTCTTTCTCTTTTTAACTTCGAGCTTTGCCCATCCCTGCAGGCTATTTTCACTAATTCTGACTTTGGTCTCTCTGATTCGTGCTCATGAAGCACAGTATATATAAATATGAACAACTGGATCCCGCCGTAAAATTTCCCGTGATGCCAGTCAGCAATACTGCTTCAAGAAGACTTCAAGCCGATTTACAACTGACTTTCGTCGTCGAGTCTGTCAGCTTTCCCAAGATGAATCTAACGGAATCCCTTTGAAAATTCCATGACTTGTCATCCTAATGCAGTATGTTCTTCTTATTGTGGTCTTAACTTCACAGGTGACCTGGTGTGAATTTCACGTTTTAACAATGCATCCCACCGAGAAATGATGTCCCTAAAGAAACCGGAGCAATGGTCATGTTGAAAAGAAAGCCGAAAGTGATAGAGCTTGTTATGTCTAATTGAAGAAGGCGAAGAAACCCAGCCGACCCTGAGACGTTGGTGCAAAAACTGCAGAGCGTGGAACAAAGAAGGGATCGTTATTGCCAAAACCAAACATTACAACAAAAAATTCGAATTTGCATAACCAAAACCGACACCGCGATCTATTCCAAGAGAACTCCGTGAATTAGCGATCATCCGGGCACATGAGCAATAACTGCAGCGTCTCAACAGAAAACGATATTCCATGGTAAATGAAAAGCTGAATGTCCCAACAAAAGAAATTTTGCTAACCCTGGGCAAGAACTTTAATTTAAAAAAGACTTCTATATAGGCTGGGAACAGTAACTTCATGAGTCGAAAGTTAA